TGTACGTATGTATATAAAATAATTGTGTTCAGCTATGGTTTTGACGTCTGTCTAGTGTTGTTCTTGAAGGTTCTATATTTCCGAAACCGAGGAGTCTTCAAAGGTGCATGTGATGATATGAGCTCAACCTCCAGCAAACTGAGCTTCAAATGGGATGTTGGTAGCTGCTCTGGTTCTTCTGCTTATTCACCATTATCATTGGCATCTTCATCAAGGAGTGACTGGGTAAATCATTCCTCCAATGCCACAGTTACTGCAAAACTTTCAATTTCAGAGTGTAGCAGCAAGGAGACATGCATTAGCCCTAACCCAGGCACAGAGAGCTGGATCACTACAGATTCTGACTGTAAGTTTCTCACCTGGCTCTTACGATGAATTTTTCCAGATAAAAATCAGAAAGGATTGGCCATAACTTCTTTCTATTTGTTTATCTTGACCATGCAGTTGTGGTGCTAGAACTCTAAGTAGTTCAAATGAAGATGCTATGCTAAGTTATTGACACTCGGGCATCTAAAGGCTCCACTGTTAGCATTTCTAAGTATTTGAAGTGACACAACCTCTGTTTATCCCAAGCATTAACTGTAGGGATGGCTATAAGGTCAGATGCCATGACAGCACACACTATGTGAAGCGCTCAAAGATGGTTGAAGGAAACATTAACTACAGAAGAATCTCATTAGATCAGTTGACCCCGGGATTCTAAGTTAGTGAACCTGAGACAACTATCAAAGTTGGATCTGCCTCAACATAACGTGAGGAACCTGTAATGTACTTAATACAGTAGCCTTTTTTTGATACAAATTCTAGTTGAGATTAGATGTATCAGTGTTGCATTAGATTACAAAATGGACAATGTACTGTGAACAAGTAACAAATAAATAACTAGAAAGGGTGCACTTTCAGTTAAGAAAGCAAAGTAGAAATACATCAGTTAACATCAATTTCCCAAATATATGGAATAGCAATTTAGTGGGCCAACCACTTTGGCTGTATCACAACTGAACCCCATTGAATTGGTAATCAAAACTAAGGTGATACAAATTTGAAAAAATAAGCAACCATGGTCAGTCAATCCGCCATGAAGCTAGGTAGCCAATGTATCGTAAAAGAAGCAATTGTAGGTTATGTAAAATGACGAAAATACGCCATGTGGTACAGAATTATACAAGGGCAGCAGCGATTTATGAGCTGTACATACTACTCTACATAATCTAACAAGCCTCCCAAATCATTATTTCCAAATCCATAAGATAACTAAGGAACACCTACCTACCTCCCTTCGCCTGCATGTGTCTGTTAACAAATGCTTATATTATAGATGTATGTATTAGTATATATTGCTCTAATAAAGAACATTTAATCTGATAATTACTAGAAATATGATAATAAGGAATGACTCGTGAAAATGTCTCCCAAATATGAGGGTAAGAACAACCTAGAGTGTATGAGCTGCATTTACTATGCATAATCTAACACCCTAACAAATCTATATTTCTGAATTTGTATGTACTCCCTCCCTCCTTTCCACTGTACGGATATGTGTATATATATGTATGTCCTTATAAATTTATATATCTATGTAGATATGTAAGTACATAATCTAATAATGAGCACTTAATCTGATAATTTTTAAAAATAAGATAAAAAGAAATAACTTATGGAAATGTCTCCCAAAATAAGGCTAAAAACAACCAATATGCTTGCCGTGTGAAAGATCAGATGATTACCTATCTTCACCACACCTGTAAAAAGAAAAGACAGACGTATACCCAAATATGCCAAAGGGCCCAGACCTAAATTCCTGTGATGCATGACTCAATTCTACAATCCTATTGACTCAATTTACACGTCTCAACAATCCTATTGAGTTCACATTCATCTTGTAGAGCCAATGCCCATATTGAACAACTCTCCGTGGATACATGTTAAAAAAATAAATAAATCCAAGTATATGATTTAGAGCATGCAATGCTTCCTAGCTAGTATTTCACTATGCCACACCTTTCTGAGATAGTGTACACAGATATTTGATAAAGTTGGTAAAAAGTCAAAAGGATTTGCATAATATAAATTAAAGGCTAGATATTTGAGGAAACCTCCAGAACTAAAAAGCAATGGAGCAAAGACAAGACCAAAACAAAGAGGTATGTGGGTCTATATGCAATGTTTTGTCAAATTGTGGTCAGGTTAAATAACATCTATAGACAATTAAGGCACATCTACACATGGATAGGATATCAACATCTAGAATCTAAGGATGAAGATGTATCTTGCTTTGGATCAAGGATGACAGGAGCTTCATCGTTAATGTACAAGAACTGCCTATCAGAAAACCAAATAAGGCAAAAGATCTCAAATGTGGGTTGTAGACCATGGATACCGTCAAGTATAGGGGCAAATTCATTGTTATTGTCCAAATCCAAGGTTCACTAGTCAAAAATGCATAGCGACATCTCAAGGATGAACATTTAAGTACCCTGCAACTAAGAGCAACAAAACAAGGACGCATGACAAGAAAATCAATGAGTAGTGCATGGAGTAGGGATGGGTGAGACAGGATGCACCAAACTTCATACGATCCACGGATCGAAGCACCTAAGGAGAGGCCATACAACACATACACATACACAAAGTATTTAAATAAAACCATCTTAATTGATGATGAATAATTTCTGATACACATTCAAATTCTTCTCTGAATTTCTTGTATGTGATTATCTACTTCACACATGGCTGACAGTATTTTAGCTTTTTCTTGTAAATTTTATTGATTCATGATTTTAATTATATTCTTATTGTTATTTATTATTTAATTAGTAACTAAAGGGGATTGCCAGGCCTCCCTCCCTGTTATAATGGAGATGGGGCCTAACAAGCCCTCATTCCCCCTTCACATCCCCATGTGGGACCTTTCACCACCATTGTCACTGAAAATATGGCAAGTGGCAACTCCCTTGTCCCTCTTTATGAAGATGAGGCCAGCTAGTGGCTGGTTCCTATCTTAGAAAAGGAGGGTCCCATCAACAAAGGGGCTTGTACAGCCATCCACATATTTACAAATGGAAATGGAGAATGGCAGGCCCACTGATCCTCTTTCCATCGGATAAAGAACATTATGTTCCCATCCAAAATAAAGAGAAATGAGATGCTACCCGCTTTATATTTTTTCTTTTTATTTTTTTCTAGGTATTCCCTTAAGATATTTTTCTCTTGAACAAAAATGATAGAGTTAACATTCCCGAAAGGCGAGACATTCTATTTTGAAGTTTCTTACACGAAGTCTACAACATTGACCCAATTCCTATAGAATAAAAGAATAATTAGTTTCTTACACTAAGTCTACAACATTGGCCCAATTCCTATAGAATAAAAGAATAATACTTCAGATGTGATCCTATCAAGAAAACACTTAGAATACATTTGCCACATGTCAAACCATAAAGAAAACACAAAGGTAACATCTTATCATTCAACATTGTCGCCAATACCTAGACACCAAAAGTCTCATGAATGGCAAGCACACCCTCAACCCATCAATAATCAAGAAAGTAAAACTTTTTTCAACACAATTAATAATATATTAACGAAACTCCTCAATCATAGCGCTTGAGATGATGTTTGATGAGATTAGTCACTTGGGTCCCATTGAACCCTCCCTTCCAGCATGTCAGAAGAAAAGCCAATGTTGAAGCTGACACACATGCCAATGAAGGTGTTGCACAGGCTTCAAACTTTCTTTCTTAGATCTTTGAGATACTGCCTGTACATCTCTTTGATGTTTTGTTCTCTTCTGTTACTCCTTTTAACACCTTTTTCAAAAGAAATATAATTCTTGTCACTGATCAAATAAAAAAAACGAAAGTCTATATATTTCAAGGGACTTAATAAAGTTGCATTCTTCAATTGAAGGATTGATAGAAATTCCCCATCCACTCTTGCAGAATATGACTTCAATGGAACTAGGCACCTCATTAAGGTCTCAGACCAACTGGTACATATACGTAAACAACACATAGTCTCTTTTAAGTCAATAGAAATCCCTAAGTAGTATATGGGCACAATGCAATATAAATTTCGACCACAAAAGAAATACACATCACAACTTTAAAAATTCACCGTCCTGTTGGGGCTTTATTGGTTACTCCCAAGTTTGATTCAACGGTAGGAATCAAACTAAGGAGTAACCAATAAAGCCCAAGCCCAAGCCCAAGCCCATTCTGAGAATTTTAAAAATTCATTTCATTGAAGTGTTGACATATTTGTATTGAAGCACGTTAAGATTTACCAAGATTTTTGGAGATCAATTACCCCCACCATCTCTAACCTATCAAATTTTTGCGAGGAGCATTTTTGGGATGTTGCTAAGGGCAAGGTTGAAAACAATACAGAAAGCATAGGAATACATCTCAGGCAAACACAGACTTGATTATCTTTCAGAGTTAGATGTTCACACAATAAAAATGCATGTGCCCGTATTTTGTGTCATTATCAAGTTGCCCTTGATAAAGGACAAAAATTTGCCTCAACCGAAAATAATTCACAACAGTAAGGAGTGGTTCTAGTTCATTTCTTTTTGTGGTGATTAACATATTTCACTCAGTGGAAACTATGTTAGTAAAATATTTAGATTCAAAATAAAAGAAATGAGAATTATGTATTTGTGTACATGCAGCTCTAGTGCAACTTGACAATACAACTCTCTGTATGAACTATGAATTAACAACTTATTTTCATAATGGATGAAATCCATCATCACCTCAAATTTTTGGAGTAGAATTTCTTTTATTAAGTAAAATCTAATTTTTCCAATATTGTCACCAACCAATCAAATCAGGGAAGAAACAAAAATCAAATTGGAGTTATCAATGAGAACAAGAGAATGACATAAGATACAGCAATTGGTACTTAAAGTTGGAATGATATGGTAATGATACAAGTAAGAAATAGAGAAACAAAATTAGTACCAGGGTAACTATACAAAACAAATTATCTCAAAACTCCCTCACAAACTAACAGGTAGGGAAGCTGTCATGAATCACGATATCAAGGATTCCAGAACACATCCCCAAGAGATAGTATGGGAGCAACAGCAACCCCAGTGGTCTATCCTTTTTCACCTGCGGCGGTAGCACATCTTTGTTGCAGCTTTAACCCATAACAACAGCATCTCACAGAACCTTGACCAAGATGCAACAATATATCCTCTATCAAGCATAGCCCCTGTAGTTAGTAACGAATCCTACAAGAGGATGAACCCTCCAGGTCAGAAAATACATGGAGTTTTCCCATACTGCCTCCTGCCAACAGTTACTTCCTGTTTTGCACACCATGCATCCAACTTCTTCCTCCAATTATTCTTAAACTGGCTTATTAGCCTTCGGAACCCCTAACTTACATGAGCCCATGATCTACCGACTAGCGCTCGTGAGAGAGAGAGAGAGAGAGAGAGAGAGAGAGAGAGACGCCCACCCAACCAACAACAACTAACTACTGACACAACGTAAAGGTAAAAAACGTAAGTACGTAGTAGTTAACTTAACTTACTAGTAAGTTAAAGTTTTAACTT